ATTGCTAGTATAGTTTCACAGATGTTTTGTTTGCCAACCCAATGAACAGTTTCATTCAACAAAGAATGTTTCAAGAACTTTTATCCTTTCTTTTTAATACCATTTACTATTTCTGGAGCAGAATTAACTCTTTAGCTACCAAGATTTCATTAGTAATTCTCCTTACTGTGCGCCATACAGTTCTTGTGATGTTAGTTTTGAGAATTTGGTATTGGATCAACTAATAATCCCCTAATTAATACTTTTGTTTATTCTCATCACTCGGCTGCTTGATGTGGTACTGATATTGTAAGGAGAAATTCTGTCTTGGTCACACATGAAAGTTCATGGGTTAAAGGAAGTAGGTTATTAAAAAACATTATGACTTTTTATTCATATAATTATTTGTATATGGGAATAACATTTGATGTTTTCGCATAGAACTGGATGATCAAGCTAAAGATAGCCTCTAAAAGGAGTGAACTTCACTATAAAAACTAGGTGACTAATTTGGAAACTTGAGCATTTGGTAAATACACTTTGGCTTGCAATTGTGTTGATTAGAGTTTGTAGAGGTAACTGAAATGTTAGTCCCCATGCAAGAACCTTGCACATGACCTGTATAGTCATATGTTATGACTATAGAAATGAAAAATGAAATGAGAAATGCATTTGTGTCGGTATAAGTATCGTAAGTACGGTACCACCTATTAAAAAAACTTTTTTTTTTTTTTAACAATTTTATTTACAAGACGATCACTTACACTACTCACAGTATTAATTACACTTACATTGTACTTGCTACTTACACTACTGATACTTATACTTACACTAATTATGCATACACTACATTACGATACATGTATTACAATACTATTAACATTAATTTAATTTACGGTTGGCGTGTTTACAAAGTTCTTTTTAATTAAAAGACAATCACAAGTGAACATACAGGTCTCAAAAAATGCTACATTTCTTTGGATATTTACTTTTGATATAGCTTAAACAAATATTAACGAAATTAAGTATAAGTCTAACCTAAAAAACAACAGCAGCATGAAAAATTAAAGTAAAAAAGCCTACGTGCGATAAAATTTCGGAAGTTCTTTTTTTGCGGTCGCGATCTCTTTTAGGATTTCAAGTTTTCCCGTGATGAACAGTAGGAAGATTTGAAAATCTAAGATGTCTCCGCAAAGGCTTGTGCAGAAAATGTGATATTTGGCTAACAATGGGCAATAATTTAGGACTTGCCAATGCTTTGTCCTATAATGCCAGCCATAGAGTATATGACTTGTGGATAACGTTATTGTTTCATTTTTTTTTTGGTGCCACCAGTCTTGAAACAGAATCCAGAAGTCGAGTATTAGTGTGCAGTTTATTAATAGGTGATGCAACGTTTGTTTTTCTGTATTGCATAGGTTGCATAAGGGGCTCTCTGAAATGCCGTCTCGGTAAAGAGTGGCGCGAGTTGGAAGCACGTTATGAATCACTTTATACTGAAACATTATTATTTTAACTTCGTTTGTAACTTAAAATGGCATAAGATAAACGTTCTTGATGGTAGTTTTTGTAAATCCGTGGCGTAGAATTTTGGTTTCGGCAGTAGGAGGAACAAAGACAGTGTTTGAAAGAGAAGAGTAAATAGAACTGGTTCTTAGGCTGTTTACAGTAGTGTTCGCGTGTGTGACGTTTGGAATAGGGTTTGTAAGATTAGCTTTCCAGTCTTTTGGGATTGCGTTGACCAAGCCATAGTATGTGGTGAAAGGCACATTTAAATTAAATTTTGTGACAAATTCATGCCACTTCAAAAATTTATGATTTTGGTTTAAAATGTCGCTTATCTTAGTAATACCGGCGTCATACCAAGTGTGGTAAAAGACAGCTTTTTTTCCTATAAGAATTTTTCTGTTATTCCACACTATTTCGTATTTAGGATTTGTTTTGGAATCGATGCCCGTTGAGATTTTAAACTCGCACCAATAATCTAACACATTTTTGTAAAATGCATGAAGCTTATCATCGAGGTCTAGTGTGCTTGGTTTAAAGTTGCATTTTGTTAGAAAAGCAAGACCACCATGTTTGTGTAAGAGCTGGTTAGGAATAATTTTCCAGGAGGCTTGTGAGTCATCTTGAATTCTGTTGACCCAAGCTATTTTGAGTGCTTTTTCCATGATATTAAAATCGTACATTTTCAAACCGCCATCTTTCTTTTCTCCAATTATGGTGTTTCTTTATATTTTAGTGGGTTTTCCTGCCCAAATAAAGTTGAAAGTTAGCTTATTTATTTCTTGGATATAGTGATCTGGAACAGGGAGCACGGAGGCTGAGTAAATTAACTTAGATATCCCAAGTGTTTTGACTGTGTTTATCTTTCCATAAAGAGTTAGATTTCTCCGTTGCCAAGTGATTAGCGTTTTCTCGAGATTACGTATTTTTTCACCGAGGTTAAGTCTATTAGCACTTTCTTGGTTATGGGAAAAAAAGAAACCAAGGGCATTGAGAGGTTCTTTTGGCCATTTAAAACCAAAGGGTTCATCTGTTCTGTCTTTCAATTCGCCTAACCACATTGCTTCGGTTTTAGTTGTGTTTATTTCCAGGCCAGAAAGTTCTTTGAACTCATTTAAAACCTTCAATAGACTCACGACGGAATCGAGGTCACGAACAAATACTGTTGTGTCGTCGGCATATTGACTTATTTTAAGCTCATGCTTGTTGACTTGGATACCTTTAATAGTAGGATCATTTTTTATGGCTTTAGAGAGGAGTTCTATGCCGAGAACGAAGAGAACGCCAGACAAAGGGCAACCTTGCCTGACTCCCCGCTGTAGGGAGAAAAAAGTTGAGGCATGACCGTTATTCAGAACACAGCTAGTAACATTATTATAAAAAATTTTTATCCAATTTTGGATGTCGTGGCCGAAGTTGAAGACCTGCAATGTTTCTAAGAGATAGTTCCATTCAATGGAATCAAACGCTTTTTTGAAGTCCAAGAAAATGGCAATCCCTTTTTGATTTTTTTTTATCTGTGTAATGTATTAGGTCATAAATTAGCCTTATATTTTCACCAATGTAGCGGCCTTTAACATAACCGGTTTGATCAGGGTTTATTAAAGTTGGCAAGACATTTTCGATTCGCTTGGCTATAACTTTAGTGAGAATCTTGTAGTCGACGTTGAGAAGTGAGATGGGCCTTAGATTTTCCAGAATAGTTTTATCCTTAAATTTTTTTGGGATAAGCGAGATTATTCCTCGTCTTTGACTTATAGAGAGCATGCCACGTTGAGAATCAAAAAAAAACTTAAAAAACTTAATGATTTCCAGTAAGCATGAACGTTTGGGAGAAGTTATGGTAGTAATTAATTTTTTTTTTTTTGCTAGGATGCATAGGGTCTGATGATTGTAATGTATATCTTTTAGCTTTCAAACTTTCAACTTTGCATTAATTGTAAATGTTTGCCACATCTATATCTCTGTACCTTAAGCCCTCAAAAGTTGAAGAGGGTGAGTTAATAACCTTACTTCCTTTGTTTGGAATTGTGTGATTTTATGATGTCGCTGTGTGAGTTACTACACTGTAAAATGTAATATTATTTAGATGGCATTCAATACTCCTTCTCAGCCTTTCATTAACGCGTGGTGTTTCTTACCAATGCTCATACCCAAACTTAACATTGTCATAAGGAATTGGTTACCAGATGTGTGAGGTATAAAAGGTGGGAATCTGAAAAAGCAAGGATCCTCGTTTAGGTAGGACTGAAATTAATGAGGGCTCTCCTATTTTAATTCATGCTTTTACTTTGACCTGCCTCCTCCCCTGTAATGGTCTAATTTGTACATGAAGGTGATTGCTACAGGTTGGCTAACCTTAAAAAACTCGTTGTGAAAATTTCTTGAACCTGTCGTATCTCTTGAATGTTTTAATCAATTTTACCCCACTAACATAAACTGAATAAATGGAACTTGAAATTTATTCGTTCTCCTTTTAAGGTGTGCATCAAAATTTCAAAGTCATTAGAGGCTTAAACTACAGGTTTGTAGGAAATCTGCATGTGCATGTGTTTTCGACATATAAAACCGGGATTATGACTACTTCAAAAGACTTTACTACGTGCTGTACAAGTATAGGCAGGTGTTTTAAAAACATTTGCATAGCTTTTTCGTTAGTACACATTTGTTTTTCTAAGAATCTTGTTTATCCGGCTTAAGCGGAGAGGTTATTGAATTAAACAATAGAACAATGTCAAAACGACGTCGTGTATTTCCTTCCAGCTAGAGGTGAATCATGAAACAAGAATAGCCAAAAGCGGAAAAGTTTAAAAAAATAACAGTTTCAAACGCGTTGAAATTACTTTTCTTTCAATTTTCTACGCTTAACAGAGGAGGTTGAAGCCTTAGGGAAAAAACGGTGGAGCAAGCAGTCATACCTTGAAACTTCAAGAGAAGATAAAAGAGAGGCTCATACTTTTCTGGCGTATTGTTTTACTGTGCTCACCTGTACAAACTTCAATCGACTAGTGATGTCTTAACGCAAAGTAGTTTACCGACGTTTTTTTCAATTTTGGCTCACTTTCCCAAACCGAAATTATAAGTCATGCTCAATAGAATATAATTTCAACTTGGCTCAAAACACCATGAGACGACGACGAAGGTCCTAAGCTGTTTGAAGATACCGCTGGCTATCATGCGTGTTGATCGATTTGATCAAGTTGTAAGAACATCGTCCTCAGGCTCCAGATCTCGTCAATTCATCCCCCCCCTCCCCACCCCCTCGAACTGGTCTCTTAATCCCCTTGAAGAAACTCTTCTACAACCAGTGCTGAAGAGTTTTATTACAGTTTTATTCAGTATAGCGAAGGGCTGGAAAGTAAACTAACAAGAGCTCCGCTCTTAGGCTTGGCTAAATCTATATATTACAATTACTTTTGTCTATAGCAGTGATTTTCATGTCATGACTGAACGAGGTGCTTTTTGCCCAATAAATAATAGCTTCATGATCAACATACATTTTAAAATGATCTAAACTACCTCCAATGTTGTTCAAGTCTTGTTTCGATGCTTTTCGACACCAGAAAGCCAATCTTGTCTGAAAGTGAGGCAAATTCTGAATTCATGACTCCATACTTCTGGGCTGCAAGAGCTTTAGAAGTTGAAAGGCGGATAGTTTGAGTATTTGTGTCTAGATCTGGCAAACACTGTCTCAACTTCTTGGTAATGTGTTCCATGACCACTTTTCCCCGTGGGGTTGGTATGGTGTCCCACTTGTTGCAAACAAAAAAAGTGCAGTTTGGTGAGAATTCCATTTGCTCTTCGGTCGTGAGTTTCCTCGTTTTATGCAGAAGTCGAACAAGCCAACAAATGATGAAACAAGCTATATTAAACGACTCAATTAAAATATAGGGCATAAATGAGATATCTTTTTGGAATCTTTGAGCTATCTACAAAAGTCGTGGTTTAATAATAGACCGAGCGCTGGTGAGGAGTTTAAAGGTTTAACGGTAGACAATTCAGAAAGAATCAATTATTGCTCACCTCCTCCAGCATTGCTGCTGTTGATGACATGGATGAAAGCAAAGGCATTTGGCAAGTAGTTTAAAGCAATTTCATCCATTATCTTCGACTCCCCGATGCCAGGGCTGTCAACGATCCCAACACCGTCCTGTTGCGGAAACAGAGTAAACAAGTTTATTTTCTGCCTGTACTTCTTTTGACCGTTCGGCACCAAACCCTTCAATAGGGTCCTGAAATTTAGTAGCCAGTTTACATTATATTTATAAAGAGGAGGTTTTGAAGATCTGACCTGTAATAACCTGTGAGGCCAAAACAGTTCCACCTTTTTGTAGCTTGATGCCTTTTCTCTCAAACTTGCAGACTTGACATGAACAAATTCTGATATTTGATCTATGTAGGGCGAGGATTCGTTGAGATGCGTGATCTCCGGAGCCTTTCCTTCTTCTTTATAGTGTATCTTTATCCTTTTCTCTCCTCCATATTTCAATTCACAAATTGTAGATGTTGTACTCAAAACAGAAAATGGCAAAAGCTCCTCACCAAGAATTAGGTTCAACATGCTGCTTTTGCCTGCACTGGTCTCCCCTAAGCGTAAATAAAATGCAAAATGATCATTGCTTAAATCGTCAATCTCAAGTTCCTTCTTAAACAATCAATGTTAGTTTCAAATTTTACCATAAGTAACATACAACTGCCATAAAGTCTTCCACCCATATTCTCGAGTTCGAGTTATTCGACGTAACATTTCCGCTTTCAAAGTTCAAAGCCTCACAAGTCGCCACATAAATTAAACTCTCTGGCCTAAGAATTCGATAGATCTCAGTGGATGGTTAATTAATTAATTGGGAAACGTCTTAGCCAAGCAGATTTTTGATACTCCTCTCGGTCACTGTTAGACCGGCTTTCTTTGTGCTTAGCATGATCATAACTTATCAAAGCACCTCAGTGGTTTGGGTAAGGTATTATTTTCAAGATATTCACCTGCCACGAGAAGAACATAATCTCTGTCTTGCATTCTTTTTATTCTTGTCTTGATCTTAGAAAGGACGTCGCCCTCGCTTTTTTTCAGCAAATCAAGGAAGGTGGCGTCAAGACTCTGTATTTCCCTCTCTACCTTAGCGTAATAATCAAGAAAGGCAAATGACTTTTCTTTGTCCATTGATTGTGCATCTGAAATCACCTTAAATGCCTGAAACATGCGTAAATATTAAATGGATTAAATATGCAAATGTTAAGTTATATATAACTTAATTCTCAACTAACCTTGCGTGAAACAGATGGCAGACACCGTGAGTCAGATGAATTACAAATGAATTTTAAACTTGAATCGACTAAGCTAATTACTGTATTTTGTGTTCGAGGCCCGACTATCCGCCTGCTGTTGTGAATTCACTGATCGGAACAAAATATAAAGCTGAGCCTAACGGTGAATTGTCAGCCAAATGACTATGAGTTCTTTTGCCACATGATACTATCATGATATTACCGCAGTTAATCATATTTTTCGCATGGTGAGCTTGATAGCTTTCGTGTAATTGTAAGTGCTTTCGACCGATAACTAACAAAGGAAGAGCACAAACGTTCGGTTACTTGTGACAATAAATTTAAAAGCGTCAAGCAAGTTCTTAGAGGTAGAAGCCCGACTACTTTGGCAGCAAGGCAATGGCAGCCATGGCAAGCGGCCGAAGCATTGAGCCATGACACGGAATAAAAACAATAAAGAGAATAATGGTCTTTAAGTGTTTCTGGGTAAAAAGTTCGAAGCCATTATAAGGCTATGACTTGATAAAGCTCAGAATAACATATATTGTAGAAATTTACAAGCGAGCGATCCGCAGCCGTTCTGCTGTATGATGTTGGGTCGATTGATGCACTGATCGGTAACCGAACAGACATGAAATTATAGAACGGAATTTAAGGATCAAGTTGCGTTTCTATGTTTCTTTGAAATCTTTGCAGTAATTTTAATCGCGTAAGAAAAGTAAACATCTGTTACTGCAAGACGTTTTAGAAAGTAACTATACATGATATATGAGAGCCTTATAGATTCAGAGCCATTCGTCTTAAGATGCCACGTTTATGAGCTACAGCGACGTGATGATAATAAGTTTAGTGCAAACATTCATCGACTCGCTTTCGAAATGCGCAGAGGAGAGGAATGGCATTAAAGGATACTTGCTGCCAAATAAAAGTTTGTTAAGGCAGCAATTTTTCTCCAGCCCATCACATGCAACCAGCTAGACTATGCAAAAGAACCTAATGCAATAGTAAGGTAAGGAGCAAATGCAAAGTGGAATGACAATGGATATGACTGCTAGCTTACCCAGACATTTTCCATCGACTGCAATGAGCTTACAACGACGCTTTAGCTATAAAATGATTCAGGAAATGTCTAAATCATTACGAAGAACCCCTAAAAGCAGTAAATCCACGTTCATTTATTGATATTGAATTATTTCCCTGGCAGTCTTACCTCGTTGCAGGCCAAGCGGTTATCTTTTCGAGAGCTTAGATGATCGAGAATCTTTCCCTTCATGTCTTCGATGTTTTTGCATCCTTTAGTTGGAATGCTCAAATTCTGCATTAAATCGATAACCTCGGCGATGTCATCTGCCTCGTCCAATTTTTCTCTGATGCCTTCCATTTTTTTCTTCCAAAAGAAACTGTGATAAAATTGAATACACGGCGCCCAGTAGAGAATGAATTTTCAATTTTTGGGATTGTTTTGCAAGGCCTACTTTTCTAGAATTATCATGTGTTCACTTACGGTAACCAAGGTTTCATGTCATGTTTACGTTTAATGCAAAGCGACCTTTGAAGCAGCGAAGTCGCTCTAGAGTGATAACACAGATATTTTGGGCGAAAATACTGGCGTTATCAACCGCTTTGCTCTTCTACATTGTCAATCCCAGCTGATTTTAAGACTAATAAAAGTCTAATCTTATTGTAGTATCAGCCTCTAAAATAACTATACCTCGACAAAAACATATTTTCTTTCTCTGTTTACAGAAATCAAGTATTCCAAAGCTATTTAGGGTGAGTCAACCGTGAATCCCTCATTGAAAACCGCATAGGATCAAAAATTGTTAGAATTCTCTTACAAACATGGACGGAAAAGCGAAGAGAGATACCAGTGATTTTTACGATGATTTTATTTTTAGCAAATCGCTTCTGATTGCTATTAGTGTCGCAGACATTTTCATTTCATTGGCTGGCAGCTCGTGGTGATGACAGACATCTCATTCAACCACGACATTCGAACGGTCTTTACACGTCAATGATCTGATTTTCGCTCTTGCATTAAATATTGAAGTGGATTCATAGTGCCAATCAATTTACCATTGTTTTGAAATACTGAAAGTAGATACCATAGACAATATAACAAAAGCTTGCGAATTAATGAAATATTTCGGTCTTTCAATAAAAAGGCTTAAATTCACGAGAACATTTCGTGAACATTTAAAGGGGCGGGAATGGACCTCGCCGCGAATGATTGGAGAGGTTTGTAATCACAGCAACACTTTTTCAGTGCAGACATATTTGTGCAGAATATAATAAATTATCCGACTATATGTAAGTTATTCTTTTACTGAGAAGGTTCTCCGCCAGGTTGATATATCAGTTCCAACTGGAACGATTCTATTCCGCTCGTTACAAAGGGTCGACGAAGAGGCAATTTGTGTTCTCAAGTGCTCCCCATAACATACTTTACAAGCTCTCTTGGAAGACCGCTGATTTAAAATTGATGCCCATGGTTTGAAAGCCGAAACAGTGTGAAAATACAAACTTTAAAGAAAAGTTTCTTAGAGCTAACAAACATTTAATACAAATAACGGCTGAAATCAAGAATTTCGTCTCCTTAGCTGTCGAAAAAAAATTAAGTTAATTTTTGGCTTCAGTCTCCTATATAGGGAACCATTTTATTTGTGTAAATTTTTTTTTTGGAATAGTTGCGTGACACAGTTAATGATTAACTGCTCTAAATTGGTAGAAGTTATAACAAATTACCCCAGCTATAAGGAATTGTTTCCTTAAGGTTCAAACAAGGATTAGACAAAATAAGAGTAAAATCCTTGGCATTCAAATCTCCAGGGATTTGATGTGGAGGCTCTAATACCCCAGGATTAGGCCGGAAGCCCGAGCCACTCTGGATTCTTGAATAAATTAGTGACCCTCATAAACTGTAGGGGAAGAAATCGGGGACCTTAAATTGGTGAGATGGCATGCGTCACGCCTGCTGGTCCTCTCGTAACAGACTCTTGAATGTTAAAAGCATCGGGTTTGGGGGAACTTGTTCAATTTACATTGCGAACACCTACACTCTAGCTTTCCTATAGGACTGATCCATTTAAAGTGGGGGAAGGAGGGGGGGCTGCTAAGAGTACTGTGTCTCAACTTCATGTGTGGGGAGAGTAAGTTTTGCTTAGTTATGTTATGGTTTGCTTTTCGCATAAAACCGACAACCGAGGGTTCTTTACACTGTACGTTTTCGTATGATTTACAGTGTTCTTCCCTGGCGCAAGTCAGCCTGTGGGCTACATGCGTTCCCTGTGGCTGGATATTGTTAGAAGACAACACTCAGGAAATGTGTTGTACACTAGGGTTTGACGTACTACTATAGAGTTATGCTCGAAACAGACCATGTGCCCTACATAACCGCTTTATTAGGATACGATAAACTTATTTGAATAAAAGGATATATAAGCATAATCACGTGACTGCGGTCAAGGGTGTGCTAACCAATAGAATACCGCTGAGGTATTCACCCAAATAGAAACAAACAGACAAAAAGACTGAGTTTTCAAAAAAAAAAACCCAAAAACCCGTGTTGTTTATCACAATCAGCAAAAATAGGTTTCATTTTGAAGTTCATCGCTGAAAAAGTCTCAGAAACATGAACATTGTAAAGTTTGGACTAATATTTATACTTATATCCTACAAACTTTCCTTTGATTCATATTTAGTAATGACGTAGTCAACTGAGTGATCTAAAATGAAGACATCGGTAGAAATGGAGATTTCCTGGAATTGTATCATAACTTTGAAATCTTTGCCGCCCAGGAGGTAGTTCTTATTGTAGGCGCTACTTTTTGTAACGCCTTAGCTTTCATCACATATCATAGCCCATAAAAGTGCGACGCAAACCGTTAGTAAAAAAGAGAAGTTAGTTGAAGCCATACCGCTACCTTTGCTACGATCAGAAGGATCCAAGCTACCCCTATCTCAAGAGTCTAGCTATTTTTTTTTGGTGCGAGTCGTCAACCAAAGTACGTAAGTATTTTCTTTGTTGTTAATTAAGTTACAGAATCATCGACCTTTTCTCGGTTATAGAACGTCTCGTTTAATCAACTAAGTGTTATTATTACAGTATTATAGCGAAACCATCTGATTTACAAATTGACCTTGTTTCTTTTCAAATTTTTATCCTTTTATGCCCATTTAGTTACTTTTTTTGTTTAGTGCTATACTGTTATTTGTACCTTTGTTTGATAAGAATGTCAAACGCTACCGAGTGATCTAAAGCTTTGAACTTTGATCTGTCACTAAATCAGTTTAAATCTACCAAGTGGAGTTTGAAGTATTTTCACCTCGTACCGCGCCATACCTGTGCTTGTTGACGATTTGAGTAAGCCGCAACCTCTAGAATCTTTACAATTACAAGTGAGTCTTTTTTTAATCCATCTCCTTCCCAAGTTTTGCTTTTTTCTACAGCGTTGCATCTTTTCGTAAACTATTTTACTAAATAAAGTTAACTTAGCTTTTCTGGACATCATACGCCTTTAGAATTTCTTATAACTGTTCCGTGCTACATGAGAAATATGTTTCTGGTCTACACACTATAGCTCAAGAGTTGAATTTATATCATCTTTCTCAAAGTGAGAACCAGAAAGTGTGATAAGCAAAGCTACAAATTGTAATTGGTGTCGCTTATTTTAACTACGTGATCATTATAATTTGATTGAACTAAAGTTATTACTGAGAGCAGATAATAAGGATGAAAAAATGCTTCGCCGAAATGTGGTGGGAAAGATAAACTTCCTCGTATAGAAACGAAATGAAATGTGATATGTCCTAAGAGTCTATATGCTTCCCAATAGTGATTGCAATGAAGTTCCTTAGCATACTGGCGTGCATCACTGAAACAGAAAATTGCTTAGTCCTTTGTCCTTTAGCGAAATAAAGAAAATAAAGGCATGTACCACCCTTTCACCACAAGGTGGATACAGGAAAAAGTAATAAAACTTACAGTTACTTAGCATCCATAGTATAAGATCGAAAGCTCCTGAAGTAATATTGAAATTCGTATTTGCTGAAGAAAGACTAGCTGATCAAAGCTATCTAAAACAGAGACACACAAAAAATCCGATTTTAATGAATAATGATAAGAAAATAGAAATATAGAAACTTGAAAAATAGGTATTAGTAAGGTTAATGGATCTGACAAATTAGGAAAAAAGCTATGAAGTACCTGCTAATTGTAAGGACTTGCCCAACATGGTGTTAAGAAAGTCCTGATCACAGAAGTAATTAAAACTAGTTTAAACCAAAAATTTAGAGACTGTTTTAGTTTAGAAGATAATGTCTGTGATTCTATACAAAGGATATGACTGAAACTTTCAAAGTGTAGTTAACTTCAAAGTTTGAGGCTAATCCAGCTCAGTGTTCAAGTTGCTTTCAATGTTCTCTTGCACTTTAAGCCTGTTTTTCCATTTTATACCAGGTTGAAGTATCATGTAACTATTTCCAGGATAGACTCTATTTTTGACTAGCTAAAATTTCCTCGATAGTTGACTTACAATCTGCGAGGCTACTTCGTTCTGAGGCTGTCTTTTTCCAGCAGCCAGAAATGAGGCCAATCCACATAACTGATGTTTGAGTTGTGATACCTGTTAAATCGGGACGATGGCCTCCTTCTATGTTTGATAAAAAAAACCTCCATCTTTTGACCTTTGAGATCTTCAAAGGCTTCTTTACCGTACCACATTTCCCAGAACAAGATCCCGAGGGAGTAAATCTCTGAAGAGGCATTGTAGTTCCTATTTCGCACAGCTTCTGGCGGAAGATGAAGAAATGGATCACAGTTTGATCGGTGCTCGATTTTCAGTTGCCTCCTGAGGGAGATGTTGCTCAGCTTAATATCACGGAGATTGGGACCGTCAAGCTATGTAAAATATCACAAAAGAATAATTCAAATTGATGATTGAAAGAAACTTGATATACAGTGGTTTTGTCTTAGTTGACTAGCATTTTGATAGAATAACTGGATCTCATCAGAAGAAATCGAATAGAACTGAGCATGATTCCATTTTCTGACAAGGCAAGGGTCACGAGTTTGGTTCAAACGCCTTGCTTATGAACAAAGCAGTCATATCTTCATCTGGTTTTTGATTTTGTCTAAGAGATTTTATATACTGCTTCATAACTAGACTGTAAATGAATAAAGGGAGTAAGTTTCTTCAGAACTGTGGCGCTGCGTCTGTGGGAGAGTATAACAAGGAAGTTTGGTACTGACAACTCAGTTCATAACGTAAATTGACCACGATAAAGAGTTTGAAAGCTGACTTCATTGGTTGAATGAAAAGCGCTCGTTGATACTGTGGGGATGAAGGGTGCCGGTTTGAGAGAGAAAGTTTTGTACTAGAG